TCGCCGGCCCGGACCAACACCAGCTTGCAGGTGGCGCTGGAAACCCGTAACCAGCGTTTAAATGGAGTTCAGGGGACAGTCGGGGACAAAGGACACAGGAGCACCAGGACACAGCCGCTGATCAATCCTGGACCAAATGATGGACTGGTCTCATTTTGGCTGTATGTTAACAAAGGGCAACAGGGCAGGAATACAATCGCTGTCCGAAAACATCGGTTTGTGGAAGGTAGGTCTTTTCAAACTCACCTGTCATCTTTTCTTGACGTGATTACAGGTCTGGTTGGTAGAGGAACTCTGCTGATAAAATAAAATTGCATTTCTTCTGGGCATCTAATTTATTACAGGTTGACATTTTGATTAAAAACGTGTATTATATTGCATTAAGAGGGCACATATTCAATGAATTAAAGACCAGCTCAGTGACGGATCTCCAAAGGTAATTATTAATGGAGATGCACTGATAAGTGAAGTTTCATCTGGCAAGGGTCTCAGGCCAATTTTTGGGTTCATACTAGTCATTCCCTTTTTCAGCTATTTTGGAAACAATGCAACACCTTCTCTGGGACCACTTGAGGTGGCGGGCAGGGGGAATGGAGGGTTTGCCAGCTCCTCCTGGCCTTGAGACCACTCTGATCCTGGGCCTGCACACTGTCCTCTTTCCTCTCCTCAGCCTCAGCTGCTGCTCTGTTTGCTTTGGAGATCCCAACACTGCTTTCTCACGAAGGTCAGTGCAGCTTGCCACTGGGCTCCTGGAAGGAGCCTCTGGGTGGGTATGGACCAGAAAGCTGCTCCTAGCCATGCACTGTGTCCCCTGTGGGGTGGCCTGGCTGGTCCTCAGGGTCCCAGGAATGTTCACTTGCTGGGGTCATTGCAGCATGTCTTACCCCTCTGCTCCCTGCTGCAGTGGAGCTTGGGTACTGGTGGCATTTTTGGGCTCTTTTCTGGCAGAGCTGAATGCGGATCCTTGGGTACCTTGCCCGGGCTTGGTGGTGTGAAGCACTGGCTTTTTCATTTTACGGGTCTCAGTCAGGCTACATGCAGCTCCTGGAGGTGCCCAGGTCTGGCTGGTGCAAGGCGTAGCCACTCAAAGGGGACTGGGAGCAACCTGGGTGCCAGAAATCCCATCTTCTCTCATCCTGCTACAGAGACAAGGTCCTCAAAACACTGAAGGGAGGGCAGTGTGAAGGAGATGTCTCATCAAGGATGCTCGAGGCCCTGCTGAGCCACACAGGCAACAATGATGCCTTTGCTGGAGGTCTGCTCCATCAGAGTGTGGTGCCAAGATGGGCATCTGGAGGGGTCAGCCCTTAGCAGCCATGATGACAAGGCTGGGTACCAGTGACAGCCGCACGCTGCCCATTGCCCTGACTGGGAGCCAGGGCCTCAACCCTTGGCCTCATCCCTTGGATGGCCGTGCCACCTAGGGCTCACATCACCTGTCCCCTACTGCAGTGATAGAGCTTTGGGCACCCTCCACCTTTGTGTTGCTTTGTGTCCAGTCACCACCAGTTCCTACTGTGGGCACCGTGCTGCTGGGATGGGCTGGGAACCCTGTGGTCCCGTACTTTTGCTGACCAAGCTGTTCCCTGACTATGACCAGCACAGCCAGGGTTGAACATGGAAAGGGGAACAAGTTTCTCATGCAGAGAAAATGAAACTTGGCACTTCTCTTTCCCAAGCAGGCAAACCACCGTGCATGCAAGTACATCCCCCCCACCCTGCTCCTCCTCCTCCTTGCCCCCAAGGAAGAGCTTCCAACAAACAAAGGTGCTGATCAGACTGGTCTGTCTTCACCCATTCACCCACAGCAAGGAGGTAAGTCATGCCAAATAGCTGGGGACACATGCCTCCTCTGCCACTGCTCTCCAGTCCTTGCTCCCTGACACCTCCTTTCTTCACTTCCTCCCTCCACAAGGGTTCAAAGTAGGAGAAGAGAGAGAAGATGATGGTGGGAAGAGGGGGTTGCAGGAATCTGTCCTTGCTTCATGTGATTGTGGACATCACTAGGCTCTTCAGGCTTGTCCCAGGCTGAGTACCCCACATTTTGGGGTAGGTCTTTGTTCTCAGGACCTCTCTCCTCTCTCCCAGCTGTGTATTGGAGATCTGGATCCCTTTTGCCTGTTTATCCCTTTACTGTTTTCCCTCCTCTGTTGTGTCTCTTTGCACCTCTTCCTCACTTCTGCTCTCCCTCCCGTGGGACCACTGCCCCATACATCAGTGCTTGCTCCCCCAACACTGGAAGAAGCATCCTCTGCATGCACCTGACGGGTGACCACCTATCCCCAGGACATGCACCAAAGGCTTTATGTCATGGGCTTTCCAATCCCACAGCCCTGCCACAGGCACATCAGAGATTTTCAGTAACATCAATGATTTCAGATCACGCAAGGGAACAGTCTCAAAATCCCTCCATAAACTTATTTTCACCATTTCAAGTAGCATCCGGCTATCTGTATTGGCCAACAGATGGGTGGCACGGTAGGTCTGTGCACACATCTGATGAGAGCACTTGCATGTCTGTGTCCAAGGTGCACCCGTGTGTTTGCTGTGTGCTTGCCTCCGTCTCCAACTCCCCCACCCCTATGCTCGTAGGGAGGCAGGATGCAGCCCGGGCTTTGGCTGGTGACAAGCACCCTGGCAGCAGTGCTGGGCATGGCCCTGCCTGAGGACGGCATGTGTCGGGCACCGGATGGCAAGGACGGCTTCCCGGGCATCCCTGGCCTTGACGGGAGGCCAGGGCAGAAGGGTGACGTGGGAGAGCCAGGTGAGGGGGAGCTGGGGATGTGCAGTGCGGGTGGCCTGGGAGCCTCAAGCCTCTTGGTAGGAGCATCACAGGCTGTGGGAGCAGCTTGAGAGATGCTGAACATGCATGAACTGCTGCTCCTCACCTCCTCTCCCCAGGGAAATCTGCACAGAGGATCGGCATCAAGGGACTCAAAGGGGATGCAGGTGATCCAGGGCCTCCTGGCGTCCCGGGTAACCGGGGCTACCACGGCTTGCCTGGTTTCCCCGGGCCCCCAGGGCAGTTGGGGCCGAAGGGATACAAGGGGGTGGCTGGCAATATCCTGGAGCAGCCACGTCCTGCCTTCTCCGCCTCGCGGAGTTCCCCACCGTCCATGGGCAGGACGGTGGTGTTTGACAACATCATCATCAACCAGGAGACCTCCTACAATCCCCAGACCGGGGAGTTCACCTGCCGTGTTCCTGGGCTCTACTACTTCGCCTACCAGGTGGTCTCCAGCGGGGACCTCTGCCTGAGCATCACCAAGAACAGGGAGCACGTGGTCACCTTCTGCGACAACAACAGCCGCGAGATCCTGCAGGTGAACTCGGGCAGCAGCGTGCTCAGCCTGGCCGTGGGCGACCGGGTCTCTGTGAGCACGGACCCTGCCAAGGGCAGCGCCATTTACAGCGGCTCCGAGGCAGACAGCGTCTTCAGCGGCTTCATGCTGTTCCCGGAGGCGGGCTGACGGACCGTCGGCCCGGTCCTGCTTCGCACCAGAGCATCGTGGCACGCGTGTCCGCCTGTGTTTTCCCGCTGTGAGCGTGTGGGGTGGTTTCGTATCACAGCAAAGCAGGACAGCCCCAAACTGAGCCGCCAGACGGGCCCTGTGCTTCCACCGATGTCACGAAGCGCCAGGCTGTGGGTCACCACTGCAGCCACCTCTGCGCTCAGCCTGCCCGCTCCATCGCAGAGCCAGAGCACTCCTGGCCCCAGCAGCCCTTTCTCCTCCCGGGCATTCAGACCCCACATTCGGTGGGCTGTCACTGGCACATTTCACCAGTTGTGGCTCTTTGCTCCTGAGTGGGAAATCACCGTGTGCCACTGCTTCTGCTATGCTAACCGTTGCAAACCCCCTTCTGGTGCCAGGCCACTGCTGCCTCTCACGTCTTCCCTGTTGGAATAAGTAAACCCTTCTCCCGCAACTGCCTCTTGAGTTTTCTTTCCTATTCACGCGTCTTCCCCAAACCATCAATGTCCTCTGCCCTTTCCCAAGCTGCTCAGGGAGAGAAGCGATTCCAGATTGCCCCTGCCAAGCACGGATCCCAAGTGCAAAGGCAGAAGGACAGGAGGGGACAAGTGTACAAGCAGTACTGGCACTTAAAGGAACAGGAAATCTCTGGGACTAGCCTATGTGTGTCCTTTTCCTGGTGAGTCCAAGCTAGCTGTCCTGTACAAGGGTAAATACAGGCAGCAGATCATGCACCTCATCCACATGGTCCTCTGTTGGTACCCAAACTCTCCTCGACAGGCAAAAGGCAGCTGTGGTCCTCCGGGCTTTAAGCAAGGAGGGACTGATGGGGTTGTGGGGTGATGGTGGTGGATTGTGGGGTGATGATCTTCTCTTTTTGGCTTGGGGTGAGACTACCAGGCAGTACACCAGGCTGGGCAGATATCAAGCAGACAGAAAGCAACAAAGAAGCCTCACAGGTGCCGTACCCTGGCACAGTTGCTCCACACATGCCAGGCAGTCAAATGTCTCCATTGCTGGAGCAGTGAGGAGGAGGCCAGATCACCTGTGAGGATGCTGGGGCCCCAGTGCATCTAGCACCCAGCAGAGCTGGTGGAGCACACGGCAAGGTGCAGAGGACAGCCAGCCTGTGGGTCAGAAACCCTCAAGGAGGAGTGTCCTTCAGTCTCATCTCCTACGGGTGCAGCATCTCCCATCAGAGCCAGGCGAAGACCTTGCACCAGCCCTTCGTTGCACAGATGTCTCTGACTCCACAGAGCTGGCATGAGGGTCTGCTCTTCACCCACTCACTGCCCTTGTGCCCAGAAATGAGTTAAGGATGGGGAGAAGGCAGGCGATTTGCAGAGGGCTGTTCCCCATGGCGGCTGGAGGGTTTGTGGCAGATCTCCTCCCAGCAGCTCATCCCATGTCTGTCCTTCCAGACCCTGCTGCTCTGGTGGCATTGGCACAGGTCTCGCTGGACAGCCAGGAAAGTGCTTGCTTAGAGGAAGCAATTGGGCAGGAGGATGTGAACCTTGGCTGGTGGCCAGCTAGGAGTTCTGGGTCCCCAAGAGCCCTTTCCTAACTCTGCAACTTCCTCTGGGAGGGTGCCACGGAGAGTCCCCCACGCCGTGCTGTGCCGGCAGGCAGTGCCTGCAGCAGCCGCAGGGCTCAGCAGCGCAGGATCCCGCGCCCTGCTCCCCTCACCAGCGGTAAGAGATGCTGCAGGGTCCATCTCTTTGGGGTGGGCTGCACGGGGACTGGGGGTCCGGCAGCACAGTGCAGTGCTGTGCCAGAGGAGGAAGCAGAGGCACTGCCAGGCTGCACACGTTTCGTGGGGGCAAATGCACGCTTGTCCTTGCTGGGGGAAGACCCAGTCCCCTGGGCCAGGGACACCTCAGCTGATGGGGGCTTGATCCCCATGGACAGAGACAGGAAAGCCAAGCTGCTGCTGCAGGAGGGGTGAGATCAGCCGGGTCCAGAGAGCTCCAGCCTCTGCGTGACGTGGCACAACACTCCACAGTGGCATACGGATCTGCAGAGGGCTTGGGGCGCTGGGCTGGGAGATCTTGGGGCTGGCCATGGGTACTACAAGATCTCATGGCTCCAACCAGACTGAAAGTCCAACCTGTGCCATCGGGGGCTCCCCTGGGATTGGTGATGAGCCCGGGGTCCGTTTCTACATATCCTCCTTCCCATCGCCTGGCAATTGGTATGGAGGGGGGCATTGAGGGCACAGCCATCACAGGCAGGTGTCCCTGCTGCAGCCAGCCTCATAGCACAGTACCTCCTTTGCCCATGGCCTGGATGCCACTCTGCCATGGCCCCTCACCCCAACACTTTCTTTCCCTTTCCATGCTCTAGGGCACCAAAATGGGGCAAAGCTTCTGGGAGCAGCTCCATCTGGCCCTCACCCTCCTACTTCTGAATCTGGGGTCTGCCGTGACCAGAGATGCCCCTTACAGCTGCTATGGGGTTCCAGGCCTGCCAGGCATGCCAGGTGCACCAGGCAAGGATGGCCGGGATGGGCTGAAGGGAGCCAAAGGCGAGCCAGGTGAGTGTGCAAGGAGGGGAACCACGCAGGCTGTTGAAGGGCCGGGAGGGTTGAGTCCTCCGTGGCCAGTCTGCCTTGGTTTGCAGGCTGTGGAGAGGACTCTCTGTGGACAGGACCCTCTGTGGACAGGACAGGAGGGGAGGAGGCTGGAGAGAGGAAACAACCCTCTCCTGTTCAGGGGAAGGGGCTGGAGGACTGACACCGACTCCCCATCACCCCACAGGCATCCCAGCCACTTCTGCAACACAAGGGCCCAAGGGCATGAAAGGGGAACTGGGCAGCCCTGGCTCACCAGGCAAGTCTGGCCTCATCGGTCCCCCTGGTCCCCCTGGAGACCCTGGGATGATGGGCTTTGCTGGACCGCCGGGTATGCCAGGCAGCTACAAACAGAAGCAGCGGTCAGCATTTTCGGTGACGAGGCAGACCAGCGAGCATCCCCTGAAGAATGTCCCTGTGGTATTCAACAATGTCATCACCAACACCAACCATGACTACAACACCACCACAGGCAAGTTCACCTGCAAGCTCTCCGGCCTCTACTACTTTGTCTTCCACACCTCACTGACATCCAACCTCTGCGTCGTCCTGTACAAGAACAACAGCAAGATGGCCAGCTTCTGTGACCATAAGACCAACACCATACAGGTCAGCTCCGGTGGGGTCCTCCTCCACCTGAGTGCTGGGAACCAGGTCTGGCTGCAGGTGAACGACTACAATGGCATGGTGGGCATTGGCAACTCTGACAGCATCTTCTCAGGGTTCCTGCTCTTCCCAGACTAGAGGACCACCAGAGCCCACCCCAGCATGCTCGCCTCTTCGCCCTGCCCTGCAAATGCTGCTGCTCGCTGCCAGGCTGTTGCTGATGCTCCAGGATTCTCTGCTGGGTGGGAAGCCCCAGAAAGGCAATCAGCCTCAGCCTCCAGCCACAGCCTCCTGGCCTGGGGACTGAGATGGCAGCTGCTGAACGAAGGGAACCGGCACGTCTGGATGCATCTGCACCCAGAGTGATCATGCCAAGCCCCTGGGGTCCTGCTCGTTCTGCCACATGCATCCACCCTGATAACCCCGCATTGCCTTCTGCAGCCAGAGCCAAAGGTCTCTCTGTGTCTCTCCCCTTTCCCCTGGGGTTGCACCAGGGATAGCTAGAGGTGTCCTGGAGCAGGCTTGCAGCAGCACCTTTGCTATGACCCAGCTGTGGAAAGTCTCAATAAATCCTTCCCCAGTGCCTCTGGCTCATCGTCTCTCTTTCCTCTATGACTTGCCTTTTGCAGGTGGAACCCATGTGTGGACAGACAGATGTGGTGTGCATGCGTGCGTGTGCGTGTGTGCATGACATCTGGACGTCTGCGTGGTGTCAGGAAGGTCCTGAGTCCTCACTGGCTCAGCCGTGCTCAGCACCAGTGAGCATCACACACTGTTGACAACCTTGGCCTTGGTCGGCGGGGTAGGACCCTCAGCAGCACTGACTGCAGGAAGGGGACAGTTCCCATGCCCATGTACACAGCCTCCACCTAGGGTGGACCAAGACTGCTCCAGGCAGGGGCCTCGATACTCCCTTTCCCCTCCAAGTAGCTGCAGTTCCATTGCAGAGGAACATAGACCACGGCAAACCACATGGCCATGCTTCTGGTGGCTGGCACATCCCCAGGGTTCCAGCCTCACCAGGGACAGGGCAGGGGAAGCACTGGCTTCCCAGAGCCAGACTGAAGGAGCTCCTGGCTCTGGAGGATACAGAGCCACCAAAACCCAATGGAGATTCCTCCTGGTGACACACATTGTACG